TCCCTAGAGTTGTCAGACCTGGACAGAAAGTAAAATTGGGGGGTGCCAGGGGCTGGGGAGTGAGTGTTTAATGGGGACAGAGTTTCAGTTTGGGAAGGTGAGAAAGTTCTGGAGATGATGGTGGTGATGGTTGCACTCCAGTGTGAATGTGCTTAATGCTGCTGAGCGGTGGACTTAATAGTTAAGATGGTCAAATTTATGTTATGTGTATTTTATCTTAATTAGAAAAAAGGTTTTGTTTTCAAAGTCTGGGTCCCTCCCTTAGGATGTGAACCTCTGTGATCCCTGAACTTTGATTCCTATGTATACTGTATTCTAAATCAGGGTCAAGGGCCACATCCGGCTTGTTCAGCTGAAGATGGATTTTGCATTTCTTAAGAGGTTACATAGGGGGACACATTTCAAGACCATCTCAGTGGATGCCTGAAACCGCGGACAGTACCAAACCCGACTGCCGTCAACCGGAACACATTTCTGTTCGGGTCTTCCACGCACACACTAAATGTGTGTCCATCTTAACTGACACTCGTGCACCAACTTCGGCAGCGGGAGGAGCGCTAGCAAAACCAGCACAGATTTCTTTCTCCTTCCTCACAATCGCACCTGACTGGCTCACTTCAGATTCGGAACAAAGCACCAGCAAGCAATTGAAACAGGACCTGGCTAAGTCCTCTCACAAACCTAGGAGGCTGGGGTCTTGGCCCCCATCTCACAGAGGGGGTGACAAGTTGGGGCTTCATGTGCAACACAGGGGAGGGGGAATCTGCTTTCCCTCCCAGAGAACCAGCACAGAATAAACAAAGAAATCTGAACTTTGTCATAACTGTTTCCTTCCCTCTAGACCCAGCTGAGGACTGCAGAAGGCGGCACTGACCTCGTCAGGGGGTCATCAAGGTTTAGAAAACCAAAGGACAAAGTCTCGCTCATTCCTGGCATGCTGTCAATTCTTCCGACGCCCCCTGCTCCTTTGTACCTCAGGGCTTTTGCACATGCTGTGCTGATGCTAGAATATCACCCCTCCACCCCTCACTGAACTTCTCAGCCCCGGCAGGTGGACTGGACCTGCCCAGTCCCCTACTCTGCTTGTTCCCCTGGGGTGGGGGCCAAACCACTACCAGGCTGCCTGTTTTTGTAAACAAAGTTTTCCTGGCACACAGCCATGCCCATTCATTGACATGCTATGTCTGGTCGCTTTTGTGCCTCAGGGGCAGAGTCAAGCAGTTGCAACAGAAACCCTTGGCCCCAAAAGCCTGTGGCCCTTTACAGAAAAGGTATGCCAATCCTGCTCTGGGGAAACACCTCCCTGATTCTGTGTGCCCTGCTGGGGCTGGCACTGGCAGAGCCAACCCCCCAGTGCAGTGGCCAGTCACTGTGGCTGGCCGAAGGACACTGTACTCGAAGCAGGTCTCTCCACCTCGGCAGTGAGGACACTGGGGCCAGATCATTCTCTGTGGTGGGGCCATCTTGGGCTCTGCAGGGGCCAAGCAGCATCCCTGGCCTCCACCCACTCCATGTCAGGAGCAAGAAGCAGGTCTCTCCACCTCGGCAGTGAGGACACTGGGGCCAGATCATTCTCTGTGGTGGGGACATCTTGGGCTCTGCAGGGGCCAAGCAGCATCCCTGGCCTCCACCCACTCCATGTCAGGAGCAACCCCAGTCGTGACAAACACAGATGTCCCCAGACATAGCCAAACTTCCCCCAGGTGAAAATCACTGACACTACGTGGGAAAAAGAAAGGCTCTAAGTTGGTACAGGTCAGATTATTCTGGCCAAATGACTTCATTGTGAACTTTCAGAAAATCTTATGTTTTTGGGGTGTGAGAACTGCAGAACAGGGACTGTGGTCCACGGCTGAGGACCAACCCTGAGACAAGTACAGGACCCGGCGCAGACAGTGACACAGGTGGTCCTAACATCTGTTGCTTCTGTCCTGTCCCTGATGGGGCGGATGTTAAACGGTACTCAAATCTCACTTCCCCACGTGGCCTTTCACACCCAAAAGTCTTCTGCTCTCCAGAGAGTCGGGTCCAGTGTGACATGAGGATGACTTTCCTCACCTGCCACTAGGCGCCTGGTATCTTTGGAACAATCCTAACTTGTAGAGTTTTGGCTGCAGGACAAAATTCTCAAAGAAGGCCTACTCTTTCCCCAAACAGTGAGGGCTTTATGGGCGCATGGAACCAAGGCCTGGTCTGAGATGCACAGGACGCAGGAGTGCGGGTAGGAGGCCACTGGCTCTGGGGTGAGGTGGGGGGTCCCCATGACAGCTCTTTTTTGGGGGGCTTCCAGATTTCTTTCAACTCTGAGTCTATGACTCCACATCCCACCATTACATTTTACCATTAAAATAAAAACAACACAAAACACAACAGCCTCTATGCCCTTTTTATCTCCCTGCCCAGAAAGGGTCATTCAAAGGAAAAACTAAAATAAGTTCGACTGACCTCCTTACACCCACCCCTGCCCACCCCCCATCTGCAAATACTTTGCCCAATCTCCATCCTAAATCCACAGATTCACCCCCATACTGAAGCCGCGTTTTCTCCTAAAATGCCACCAGGATGTCACTGCACAGATGAACACCCCCAAGTGCTCCAGGGAACCTCATGAGTGTGTACGCGAGGCCCCTCACCCTCTGCGTGTTATCTGTGGAGCCTACTCTGAACCCCTTGCACTCTCAAACGCACATGCTCGCCTTCCCGCCAGCTCATCTTGGAAAGACGCTCATTCCTGCATTCCTGCAAACCCCACGCCCCACTCCCACCCCTGGTCCAGCATCTCTTGCGAGGCTTTCCACCCTTTTACAGGCCTGTCTTCACCCGCTGGGCTGTGAGCACTTGGACTGTCTTACGTTTGAACACCAGCACCCATAAGGCAGTGTCTGACCCGTATGGACTCAGGAAAGCATGAGATCCATGACAAATTCAGAGTCACGTGATCAAGTTCCTTGGGGAGGACATTTCTCTCTGGGTCTGGGTTTCCTCCTCAGTAAGAGACAATGAAGCCAGTCCTGCCTACCAAGCAATAATTTCTCTCATTCCTTCAGCCCTCACTGAGCAACTCCTACCAGGGCTAGTGTTGGGTCTTGGCAAAAAAAAAAGAGGCACAGAACTGAGTAAGACTGCAGCTCTCAAGGATTCTCTAGTCTGGGGCAGAGGCTAATCCTGTTTGGAGTCCTCACCCTTTTAGGAAGATTTAATTTAGAAACCTCAGATCAAATCTTTGATGCACTGAGGACTTTCCAGGCACTCAGCTAACAGCTGTACAGGCCATGGCTTATTTCAGGGGCCAGCAAGTGTTTTCTGACAAAGGCAAAGGAAAACTTTCAGCTTCCCAGGCCATGTGGTCTCTCTGGCAACTTAACTCTGCCATCTCGGTGCACAATCAGCCGCAGATAATGTGTAAACAAAGGGGCGCGGCTGTGTCCACACACAACTTCATTCCCCTCAACAGGCCGCAGCCCGATTTGGTCCTCTTGCCACAGTATGCTGGCACCTTGGGTTGTTGAATACTCACGCACCCGAGGTGTTTACTATTACAATCCCCATTCCACAGAGAAAAACTGAGGCTTTGAAAGATGTGGGCCACCCAAAGTCACCCAGACATGATGACCCAAATCAGGAGTTTTGAGCCTAGACAGTCTGACTCCAGATCTTCACCCCCAAAGTACCCTGCCCTCTCTCCACAAAACTGGCACACACACAAAACTTTGGACACAAATTCATGGACTCATGCTCCCCCTGCCTGCTGGTGAAGAATCACTGGTCTGGGGTAGGATTTTTAACGGTGACATTATCGACATTCAGAATCAGATCATTATCTGTGGAGGGGAGTCCTGTACACTGCGGGGTGTTCAGCAGCGTCCCTGGCCTCCACCCACTCCATGCCAGGCACAACCCCTCCCCCAGCAGTGACAACCACAAATGTCCCCAGACATGGTCCAGTGTCCTGGGGGGTTCAGTATTGCCCCCGGTTGAGAATCACTGGTCTAGGGAGAGGAAAAACAGACACAAATAATCAGAAACAAAGAAAAACATTCAGCCTCAGGGACGCAGACTGAACACGTATTTTCTGACACCCAATAACAAAAACAGCCATTCTCTAGCAAGTTCTTATCGAATCCCAGGCAACCGATGTAATTCTCAGAAACAAAGAAAAACATTCAGCCTCAGGGACGCAGACTGAACACGTATTTTCTGACACCTAATAACAAAAACAGCCATTCTCTAGCAAGTTCTTATCGAATCCCAGGCAACCGATGTAATTTAATCCAATGTCTGGATGTATTTAACCTCGCGACACTTTTACGCCTACTATTTTAGAGATTTGGAAAGGGCTGCTCAGAGAGGGCAAGAGACTTGCCCAAGTTTACACAGCCGGCAAGAGGTGGCGGGGTGGTCCTCAACCCGATTCCCCCCACCTCAAGCTCCATATATAAAAGACCTTAAATGGGAAATAAGACTAACAGCTGCCAACCCCCCGCTGGGCCCTGCGCCTCTCCTCCTAGGAACCTCCCCAGGCAGGGGCTGTGACAGCGTCCGTCTTACAGAGGGGGAAACTGAGGCTCTGAGAAGCCAAGAGGCTGGCCAAGGCCATGCAGGTAGTGAGTGGCGGCCCTGGAACGCCTGGGACCCACAAAAGGGGTCCCCGAGTCGAAGGGACCGTGGTTCCAGGCAGCTGACAGGAACGAGGACAGCAGCGAACACTCGGCTAGCGCCCAAGAGGTGCAGGGAGCTTTAATCTCCAGTTGTCCTCGCCACGGGCCTGCGGACCAGCATTTCCAGGGCCTGGGGCCCGGGACAGGGAGACGAGGACCCGCCAGGGCCCGACCGAAGCCGCCCGGCCTCAGTTTCCCCTCCGCGCTGCCCACTCACAGGAGTCCGCGGGTCGGGGCGACCCAGACCCAAGATCCACCTCCTCTTACGGGATCCAGAGTCTCAGGAACCCCAAGCCACAGACCCCAGGCCCACCCAGACCCTGCGCGGAGCCCCCAACTCACCTCTGCGGCGACAGAGCCCCAACCCACCGACGGCTGCGCCTGCGCACCGCGGCGCCGCCCGGCCCCGCCCCCCGGGCGCGACGCCTGCGCACAAGGAGCCCGCTCCGGCTTGCTCTCATTCTGCGCAGGCGCGCCACTGCTCCGGGCGGGCGTGAGAGGAAGTGACACAATTTAGAGGCGGGAATCAGCTGGTCGTTAGGGCAACTGACCTCTACGACCTAATGGAGGCCGGAAGTCAGGTCTGACTGGTCCTCTACATCGGGAACGAAGCGGTGCCTGATGGGATATAGGCGGACTTCAGCGGGTCGGCTGAGCCGGCCACGTGGTGCGGAGCCGGCCACGTGGTGGAGCCGCATTGGGACACCTGGCTCCCAGAGCGTCACAGGCACTCCGTGAATGGGAGTCATTGTTATCCGCTTACTTTGTTCATTTATTCACCCACCCAGCCACCCACTCACCCATAGCTGCATTCTTCCATTCAGTCAATCTGTGAGACGTAAAGGAATACAGGGATGTTTGTATATAGCAGGTGCCTAATATTCATTCAACAAGTATTTATTGCAAACCACACATAAAGACCGGCAAAGTGTGTGCTCTCATGACCTTTTATGGGGACAGACGGACTATAAACTAGTAGTAAACTAGTACATAAATGGAGAAACAAGAAATTTCACATAATGCCAAGCCCTATGAAAAAAACATGGGGTGATTGGAGAGTTGAATTGTCTGGGACGGTTATGGAAGACTTTTCCATTAGGTGTCGATTTGAAAGATGGGAAAAGCCAAAGGGAAAACACCCTAGGCACAGGGAAGAAGGAAAGCGAAGACTGATGTAGGCGTAAGCTTTGTGGGCTCAAGAGACAGAAACACACAAAGGGGCCTGGTGGGACATTCCCTAGGACAGAGAACTGACCCACCGTGACTTTTCAGAGTTGCCAGGAGAGTTCTCCCAATTCATTTGAATTCAATTCGAAACGCATGCACGATTAATGGCCTGGATTATCTTAATTTCTTTTGCAAAAATAAAGGCGGTGGGGATTTTTTTGCCAGTTTAATGTTTTCTTGGTGCTTTAGATGATTTGAGATTTTTTTTTTTTTTTTTGGAGTTCCCCCAGTTCCCCCCTCTTTCATTTTGGCAGCTGGCCGGTAGAGGAATCAAACCCTTGACCTTGGTGCTATCAGCACTACTCTCCAACAAACTGAGCTAACTGGCCAGCCCAGGATTTTTTTTTTTTTTTTTTTTTTTTTAAACTGACAACATTGGATGTAGGTCAGGCCGCTGCACTGTTGCAAAACACCTGTTTTTGAGGTCATGGACCTGTTTACTGAAGCTTTCTTGATGATACTTGCGTACATTAAAACAAAAAAAATCAAAGAAACCTGTTCTTAAGTGAATTGATTAACCGGACTTAACTGACACACTGTATTCCTTAGATGCCAGAAGATGAGCAGGATCCTGGGAAGGAAATAATCTGCAAAAAGCGCCATCAGTAACATGAAGACCACAGGTGAGGGAGCAAACTTGTAAAATTAGCCCAATACCCAATGATAAGAAAGGAGGCGAGTACAAATCAATACGGGAGCCAAAGCCCAGGCGGAGAAGTCCTGGCAGAAAGAGCGGCAAATCCACCTGCTCAGAGGCGTCCGCGGCGTGCGGTTTCCATGGAAACGTCCCGTCCGAGGCTCCCCAGGACCCCGGGAGGCTCGGGAAGGGGTAGAGCCCGAGACTCCGCCCGCCCACCTCTGAGAGCCAATGACGGGCCGGGAGAGTTGCAGCGCGTGCGCAGAGTGCGCCAGAGACCCGGCCCACCGACCGGGGTAGGGGCGGAGCTCGAGAGCGCGCGCGCCCCGCCCTCCCCGCGCACGCGCGCTCCTAGCCTGCCC